ATTAGCTGGACTTGTGTTTCTTGTTCCTCCTTCAGGAGATTCTCCCATGCTGTCATTGGTATATATTCTTTGGTTACTCTTGTTTCCTGCTTTTTTTATGTGCTTACATATTTGCGCACTCCTCTCCACTGGGCTAAACTTGGCGATTTTCTCAGAAAACTTGAGAATTCTTCAGTGCTCTGCTGTGGATGACCAACCACAGCAGAGTTTGCTGCCTGTTCGGTGACATGAAAGGTTTATGGCCCCCAAGTGTTTTCCTAGCTGCTTCTTTGAGCGTTTCGGTAATCCTGTTCCAAGATGGTCTCCCTTCCTCCTTTTTGTTCCTGATCTCGCCCTGCTCCTTTTTATACTCCAGGTTCTTACCCCCTGTCAGAAGTTCCACATTCCACCATTCAGTTCTTTCGCTTTGCTGCCTGTCCTTTCCTTCTTCTTCGCCGGGCCTCCACCCTTACTTTCTTCCTTGCCATTTTGTGGCCCGATCCTACTGCTCTGAACCACAGTTCTACTATGTTCAGAGTTTCTTCTCCTCCCCGTAGTGTCAGCACCATCTGGGAATTGCTGAATGTGTTTTACACCCTCAGCCTATGTTGAGCCCTTCGCCCATCCTTTGTTCTTCCCCTTCCCTTCCGCCTAGTCCGCCTCGTTCGAGTTAAAGTCACCTAATATGATGCCGGGGTATCTCCCGCTCTTTTTTTCTATCACTTCCCTCAGCTTGCTGAATTCCGCTGGTCCTTTTTTGTCTTTGTCCGAGGGGATTTGGCATCCTATAACCGTTAGTCTTCTTATACTTGTCTTGATTGGGGCCATAGATACACTCTCACTTCTTTCTTCTTCCTCATCCTCAATGCCTCGGTGTTTCTTGATGACGATTGTTGTGCTTGTGCTGGTTCTCTCCTTCTTCCCTCCTCCTATCCACTAGTGGTAGGTCCTAGTCGCGGCCATCCCACGTATTAGTTTGAATTCCTGCAGGCTGACTACATCTATTCCCTGTTTCTTAATTCATCGTCAATTGGTTCCCTTTTCTTTGGATCGTTCTGCATCTTGATCCGGATACCACGCTCAGGAACGGCGGCTCCTCTCGCTTCCTCGTATGCTCCCAGCACCCTTGTTCTCCGGAGATCCGCTTCTTCTTTTACCTGCCTTATCATGTTTGCTGCCCTCATCACGCTGTTATGGTTATGGTTCCAGACATTGCTCCTCCCTAGTCTGTATGCTATGCAGCAGTGACCTGTGGTCCCCGTAATAGCTCGCGGTTCTATGACATGTTCCCTCCCTTGTCCTTCTTAAACCACTATTTGGCTGTTGTTGTGTTGGCCACTGCCATCACTGACTCGTATTCTCCCCAGAATCACTGCTTTCTGTGATCCCTGAGGTATGCTTCGGCTTTCTCCTCATTATACCGCGATCCTAATTTCACTACGTGGTTAGAACTCTTCCAGGCTCTCTCTGATGTATGTGCTGGTTTCTTCTCTAATCCTTTTGGTTAATCCCTTATGTGGTTCGGATGACACCGGGAATCCATTAAGTTAGTGCCCAATCGCTCCAAACAGGCAATTTCCATCCATATTTATGTTGACGCACTCTAGGATGTTATCGTTTGTGCGATCATCCTGTTTGACTGCTGTTACTAATCGTTTAGGTGAGATCCTCTTAATCTTGGTTGGAGGTGATGGGCGCAGTTTATTGATCGCTAAGAAGATAATTCAACGCTAAGAGGGATAATGGAATTGGATTATTGAGTTAGAACAGTGAGATGTGCCTTGCAGTCTAGCTTGGTCACCCTGTATAATATGTGGTATATATTATGTCGAGCAATATAGCAAAGTTATTTGACAAGCGCGAAAAGCACAAAAAACCACCCAGACGACCCGAAACGCGCTTTGAGGAACCTAAAGGCTCTCTTGGTAGAGGGGAAGGGGGGTTAGTGTCGTAAGCTGTGGGAACTTTTAATACTCTGACTTATGGATTAGGGTACTTTAACGATTGGAAAGTGTATGCCTCCCTTCGTAAGGGTCCAATTTGTTCCGCCCCCTCGAGGTAGGTATATTCGCGGGTGCGAACGAGCGCTAGCTTTTGTAATTCCTCTGTTTGTCTAATCAACCACCCTCTATTCTATCTTTTCCCTTTTAATTCAATTTAATTTTAGCCTTAATTCTAGGTGCCAACTTCCACTTGAGCTTCAGTAGAAGACCTATGTTTGTTCTTGACCAGGAAGTGACGTCACACCAATCAGAGACGAGCTCGTGACGTCACAACCAATCAGAGACGAGCACGCCTCTCTATGCCCCTCCCTTGTCATTGTTATAGGTTTACTCTTACTTTATTTATCTTGCTTATTATATTTATTGTTTATAGTGTCGCTTACGCAAACGTAACAAACCTTAATTTTGTTCTGTTATTGGATACTTTGTATCTGTAGAACAATAAGCATTATTATTATTATTATTATCCCCTTGGCCAATGGGATACGGTAGGCGGAGCCTTTAGGACCCGTCCCCTGTGGTGTCACAGCCAATGAGCGGCGTGGTCCGCCATTTTGTTGGGCGCCATCTTCGATCCGCCCCCATTTTATAAGTCTCTAATTCCGCCATTTTGTTACACGCAATTTTGGACCGTCTCCCTGCCTGCTTCTCTCGCTCCATCCGCCGTCTTGGATGTTATTTTGGACCCGCGTCATCGGTCATGTGATTGCTATAGGAACAATATTTTTTTTATTTGCGTTGGGAATCGAACTCACGATACCTAAAATAGAAAGCTATCGAGTAACCAAATGAGCACGCAGACTTTGAGAGATTCTATAGTTAGAGGTTGAAGTCAATGGAAGAACAGGTGCCGTAACATGTATTGGGGCCCCAAGTATATCCTATAATTAAATATTATTATAAATAATAATAATAATTATTGTTATAATTTAATCTCCGCGAGATGCAAGGGGGCCCTATAATATAAGTGTGAATTATGCCTGGACCCTCCTCGCTTTTCAAAGTTACGGGTTCTTTACTCACTAAAAGCACGTCTGCACTCGTTACCTATTTACCTTTGATTCTTATTGATTTATTTTCTTCAGTTGCGTTATTTAATTCACTCCTAATCAATTTAAGTGATTGAATTGACTTTAATAATTCTATTAATTTAATCAGTAGCTTTATTAATTTTTAATTATTTTATTTCATTGATATCATTGATACTATTGATCCCATCATGATTTTCATTAATTGGCGTTTTGAACATCATCCATTTCGGAGACTCCTAACGGTGCATGTGGATTTTTGAGCCCTCAAACTGCTTCATTCATTAGGTTTTATTCACTATATTATGCTTTTGTTAAGTGAGAGGTGCTCTGTGATTTTTTAAATATTATTTCAATGAATTATATACATTAACTTGCTTCCATTCAATCAGTGTACTGATTCGATCAAGTCAATCGGTTTAATTGACCGGAGTGGTAGAGCTTTGGACTATAAATCCGGAGATCGGGTGTTGGAACCTGGGTTGATGTGAATTTTTGATCTGTGGCGGAGATGAGAATTACCTTAGACCAGTTTCGAGCATTCTGCCGGCTACTCCGAATTAGGTTTTCCTGCAGTTTTCCTAATTCGTAAGGTAAATACCGGAGTAGTATAGACCAACTTAAGACCTTCTGCAGAGGCACCTACCTTTTGGCCCAACCGTATTAATTAAATTGATCTAATTATTGTTAATTGTTTCAATGATTCCATTTAACTTGCCATTTCTCTTGAACAGAACGCCTCCAACGACTAGAATTGTCGTACCCATTCTACTGATTTGTATAGATCCTATCATTCCTATCCATTAACTGGATTTTTATTTTTTGGGAAAAGTTTTCTTGGAAGGGGCATACGTTAGCTTTCGTTTTGTACACCCGCCGAACTTTACACCGATCTATTTATAGAGAAACCTTCGCGGGCATACGTCCCACCATTTTCCAAAGATTCGTCGTAACGGTATAAATTTTTGTTTATTTGTATATATTATTATACTGCATTAATTTTAGGTGGAGGATCATTGCCAACCAACGGCTGCATTTCGTGGGCGCCACCAGAATTGTAATGTTATAGTTAATGAACACTTCGCGTCGTTTTTTTTTTGTACATTATTGCGTCAATTTATTATATCACGGTAATTACCGTACGCTGTACGTTAGCGGAAATTTAATCCAAATTGGCGAATTCATGTGACGGGTCAATAAGAGTGGCTGTCGCGTCAACACTTCTGATTTATTGCAACGGAACCCCACAAGATTTGCATAAAATATTACCACGAGTGCGCTTTATTATTTTTCCTCATCCGAAATGTGACGTATTAGATTTGTCAGTACGAGCTCGCTGAGGTTAGGCGACACCGACTTGATAAATGGTACATTTAAGTGGCGGATTTTATAAATTCTAGAGTGCACTCTATCGCGCGACAATTACGTTATGACGTTCTTATGTAGTTAAGGGTAGGACGTAATAGCCTTCTAAAGTTGTTACAGATTAGTTTGCAGGAACCTAACGAAGAAGGTGGAGTGCCAAGAGCTCTCTCTAATGACATTAGATGTAAGTGCTATGAGATTGCTTTTTAATAAACTTAATTACAAACTCCATTTTTCCCTTGTCGTAAAGTTCCAAAACATAAAACCGTTTCATGGTTGTATATGAAAAGGAGCCTCGATTACATCTTCCATTTTTATATTTTATGCGGCACTGCTTTTTAGGTTAGTGACCAAGTTGTAAAAATGAGCGCGGCGGCGAATTCTCAATTTATGATTATTATTATTCCGGGGGACCTCAATATCTCGGCGCTGTAAATATAAGCATGGCAATTTGGTTGGGTCAGAAAGTTGAAATTGCGCAACTTTCACTAACGTCACAATAACTCGTGGGAAATCCTTCCTCTTTACATCTTATACCACCCGATGCACTAAAAGGAAGGGTTTTACGATCGAATTTATCTCTCACGACATAGGCAATATAATAAGTTCCGTCGACCATACTGACCTTTTTTACTGGCATGAAAACTGTCATCCTTGGGTACGTAGCGAATGTCATACTCCAAGGAGGTAAATGGCAGGATCGTTTTATCCCTGTTGATTTTGTACACGGCATACTTGAACGCCAATTCTGTACTGCCGTCACGTTGGTCCTCGGTGAAGATTGCACCTGGAAGAGGAAACTACATTTACTCTTGTATCGTAAAAAAAAGAGAAATAAGCTACTCATGTTTTCGGAGCGAGGCGCGCTTCGATAAATTATTTATTGTTGAGGTTGAGGATTTTCTATGACTTTCTGAGACGGATGCTGCCGTTATTTATAAATGATTGAATGCAAGACGAAATGCAATAAAGCGTTTCGCGAATTGTTCAGAATAATAACGGAGAGCAATTTCGGCGTATTGTACTGCAACGCGTACGTGGTGAAAGACTTTGAACATATTGTAACGTTATTTATAAATTCGGGTTCGATTTATATCAATATTTATTAAACAAAATTAAAACACTATAAAAACTGTACAATTTATATCGACGATTTATATCACACTTCACAATTTATATCAGATTTTCGCGCTCTATGTTTCGTCCGTACTCGATCTCGTTCGATAGTAAAACTGCTGCGATGTTCGGTCCGCAACCATTTATACACGCAAGCAATGTAAGTCCAGTACATTCTCGAATACGCGTAGAAAATTCCAGAGCGCCAAAGGCGACGTCATGTCTGGAGCATTTCCGTTCAATATACAGAGTGTTCAATGATGGGGTTACGGGTACATTGAAATTAAGCGAGATAGTAGATTTAGCTTGTATAATTTGTATATTTCGTACATGAAGTGCATGATGAAAAAAAAACACGAAATTATGGCACTATTCTGGTATATAGTATGGGTGAGAAAACCCCTGAGAAACTCCTGAGCTTTACGAAAATGCTTCACATGGATGACGCCGAGATTCCACTGTGTAAAAGAATGCCTTTTTTCCTGTTGGTGAATTCGAATCACGGACCGTAGGGATTGGAGAAATCAAAATAGAAAAATTCGAAGAAACAAAAGAAAATCTGTGAAATTCCGTGAACCTCAACATGAAAAATTGAAGAAATTAACGAATAACTTGGGTACAAGAAAACCTATGGTGCTGAGGAATTGGAAAAATTTGAAGAAAGCGAAGAACAAAAAAAGGAAAAGAAAAAAAATCGGATTTTGAAGAATCACAAAGATCGGAAACATTTTCCAAAGGGGGTGTTCTAGGAACTTGAAGACTGTGAACTGTGAAGAACTGAAGAACCCCCCCATTCAGAGGACTCAAATATGAAGAAGAAGCAAAAAATTCCTAGAAACTAAAGGACCCAAGCACATATAACATCTAAAATTCTAAAATTTTGCAAAAATCTTTGATTTTCAGGATCATTGTACATTTCAGAAGCTAACTGGTGGAATTCGTGCCGCACTAGTGCAATTTTAATGGGCCAATTTTGATTAGAAATGGGCAAATTGAACGAAATTTAAGAGCCAGAAGGATAAGACAAATTGAAAAGAAGTATGAATCATAAAAACGTAGGAAAAGACAAAGGAAGCTTCAATTCCAAAGATTTTCTAGGAATGAATAATCGTAAAATAGACAAATTCGAAGTATCTGAAGAATATGAGGAATCTGAAAATAGTTTATTTTGGAATTGCAAATTTCAGGAATTCGAATTAAGGGAAAAATTCAAAGAAATACGAAAATCCAGGAGGAATCTGAAGAATTTGAAAAAGTTAAAATTCCAAAAACCGACAATCCGAGGAAAAACATTGCAAGAACTCATGGAATGTTAAGTTGTTGAAGATAGGAAGAATTAAAGCATCCAAAGGACACGAAGAAGGAATTCGATGTCTTCCAAAAAAGGAGGAAGAATTTACAGTGAAGGATTCGGGGGCGTCAAAAAATCGAAGATTAATCCTAAAACCAAAAGCATAAGAAGAATTATAGCATTTCCATAAAACCTGAAAAATCAAAGGAACTGGAATTAAGGTACAGGACCAAAAATAAAAAAACATTTTCCCATTCTTTCTTCGTTTTTTGTTTATAACAATACAGGGTCCTGCAACAAGGTGCGTCGATGTTTCCTAGCTCATACCTGATAAAAAATATCAAAAAATCTTTTGTGCAAATGTAAACTATAGATTGTTGCGCATCTACAAAAATTATTTTTGAATGTACAGGGTGTTCCATTAATAATGGTCACAGGCCATATCTATGGAACCGTTAAGGGCACAGCTTCGGGAAAAAAAAATTTGTTACCAAAGGGACCAAGAGAAATCGCTGGAAATTATTTTCTATTTTCTATTAGTTTCGCCGCTAGAGGGCGTACGATTTATGGTTATGTAGAAAAATGACTTTTTTCTCTAAAATATACCAAACAAACATGCATAAAAAATACAAAACAGATATCAAAAAGCGGTTTTTACTGATATTGTCACTTTTTCATCTTATTTGACAATATCATATAATAATTATATCGTTCCATTTGAAATTAAAAAAAAACTGCAAAGTTTATGTTAATGTCACATCGCGCTCTCTACCACTCATCACATTTACTAAAAAGACTCTATTCATGTAAAATCTGAGTCCACGAATAGAGCTCTTTCCAGCAAGACCTATTATATGAAAATCTGAATCCGAAGTTACATTCAATTCCTTAAAGAGATGCTCCCCTTCCCCCACCTCTCATATTTTATGAACTAGAGCAATATGTGCTGTGTCTAAATGATGCAAAATTGATACAAGATTACTATGCATGTTTGTTGGGTATATTTTAGGAAAAACGCCATTTTTCTACTTAACCATGGATGGTACGCCCTCTAGCGGCGAAGCTAGAAACTTGAAAATAGTTTCCAGCGATTTCTCTTGGCCCCTTTCGTGTACAAAATTTTTTTCCCTATGCAATGAATGGTTCCATAGATATGGCCTGTGGCTATTTATAATGGGACACTGTACAGGGTCTCATTTTTACGATGTCAATACACAGCTGATTTTTTAATACCCTGTCTATTTTTAGCAGATTCATTTTTTATTCTTTGCAAGCCAAATCATTAATTTCTTTCCGAATAATTCTCTATAATGTTAATCTGAATAAAACGCAAGACTTTGGTAATGAGAAAGTTGAATTTAATGATACAGGGTGTTCACAAAAAATTGTAAAATTTCTATATTAACGAGCTCATAGCGAGTTTATAATTTTACGGTGTCTGTCCGTCCGTCCGCCCGTCCGATAGCACATGACATGCCAATGTCAAAAATTACAGAGATTTTGAATAACTTGAAAACTTTTCATAGGGAAATGTGGAATCAAACAACGTAGATTTTTACGTACATTTCCAAAATGTAATAAAATACAGGGTGTTCTATTTAAGATAAGAAAGTTGCTATCAACATACTGCAAAAGTCAAAACCCTAAAGTGAAACGACCAAAAGGTTTAGGATTTACTTAGGATATTCACTGGTTCTGTTTGATACCAATATTTTGATTAATTAAGAAAAATCCCATTACATATATTATTGTATAAACTATGTCTTGCGGGATTTTCATTTGGGATCAGCAACGATGGGTCACCCTGTAGGAGAATATCAATTCATTGAATACCAGTTCGGTCAGGTCATTCAAATTTTAAAGCGATTTTGATTTGCATCAAAATTAATTATGTTTGATTTTGTTTAAATAATCGCTTTTTTATTTTTTTTCTTAATTGTTTTACGTATTAAAAAATTAGGTTTAGTCATCTAGAAATGATTGTGTAGTATTTGTTTATCTCCGGTCATTGCGATAAGCCAGCGCGTGTGACGCAGTTCAGTTAAAGCTGAACTGTGGTGCTAGGGGCCCTGGTTCGAATCCGGGTTCGGGCAGAGCAGCCTTGGCTAAAATAAATAAGAAATAAGAAGCTAAATACCGCGTAAACTAATTAAATTTCAAGATAACCACGTGTTATCGCCGAAATTTTAACACAGGTACAGTTATATCGAAGACTCAATTGAAAGTAAAATAAAACGTAAAGAAAGTTTCAAATTGCCGAGGAAAACGGGGGGCGGATTTTAATCGTTGCTTTTTGTTTTGTGGTAGGCTTTTGGTGTCTTGTCAGTATTTCAGCGTATTTGAAAGGAAAGTTAGAGTGTTCAGAGGAATTTCATTCGTTCATTTAAAGTGAATGTTGTTAATCGAAAGTTATCTCCTCCTTTCTTTAAGGGTTTCCCGGGAGCTTTTCCACCATCAAAGAGCCAATTTTACATAATATTATTTCATTACAAACGCAGTGTCGTCTAAATCGAGACTAAAGTGCAATTAAGGTGGAGTGAAGAAACATCAGTTGCTTTTGGGTTTGTACGTTCTGTTATGTAAATTAAAGAAAATTTTGGAAGAGATGAGGTTCTAAGGTAGAAACAAGAACAGAATCCGATCACCAATCGGCTATAAAAAGAGAAAGAAATGGAAAGAATCAAATAAGAAGAGCATTTGAGTAAGTTGTAAAAGCGTAAGTATATGATTCAGATAAGGGGAAATTAAAGAACTTTCAGAACTAGAAAAAGCATAAGAAGCTCATGAATCGAAGGATCTGAAGAATTTAAAATATTAGAAGGATTCGAGGGCGTCTCATGATTATGTAAACCTCAAATATCCGAAGAACCAAAAGCATACGAAAAATTAACGTAGTTCGGCACAATTTGAAGCTACAAAGGATTGAAAAATCATCAGATTTACGAATATGAATGAATTTGAAAAACCTGGAAAACCTCAAAGATTCCGCAAAATTAGATTATAATCGCACATGAATTTAGATTTAGAGGACACTGGGTTCGTTGTAATTAGAGATATAAAAGTGGCTTTTTGAAGGTGGAAAACTCCCTTTAACGCTCGCAAAAAATATCGCAAACTGCCATAAACCAAGAGCTTCCACCAAAATAAAAAGCAACGATTAATGTCCACCACAAAAAACCACGAATAACGTTTTCCTCTGCTATTTAAAACCGCCTTCACTTTTCGTTCCACTTCGATAAGACCACACCTGTGTTCAGAATTCGTCAATAACACGTGCATATATTTAAATTTAGTTAGCTTTACGCAACACTAAACTTCTTATCGCAATGACCCGAGATAAACTTTTGAAAGTAACGTGAACGAACTTGTTCCCAATCTCA